GCCGGGCGCTGCGGCCGCCTGCCTGTGGCGGGGGAGGGGTGGGGCCTGTGCTCCGACGGAGGAGCTCGCGTCGTGCGCTGGTGCCCGGGACGCCGCGTCTGGACTGTCGGCCCTGAGAAGCCTCGCCCCAGAGCTGTGGCAGGTGCTTCTGTGGCTGCACCTCTGGTGGCCGGACGTCAGGTGGGGGCTGTGGAGGGAGTGGAGGCCCGGAGTGCCCCCCACCCCGCTGGGCCTCCCTTGCACAGGATCTGACAGCAGCACCTGGGCCCCCCGGGGGTCACACGTGTGCTCGCCCAAAGCACCCGCGGAGCTCACTGGGCGGGACACGCGGGCAGAGCTTTGTGTCTGGACGAATGCTGATCCCGAGACGAGACGCTTGAGTACCCTGCCGCCCCAGAGCCCCGGCTCTCCCTGCGGGGCTGCGCTGCCTGGGTTCCCGGCCGCCGCCCCACGTCCCAGCCCTGCTCCCCTGCACCTGTTAGGCCCGGGACGGTGGTGCGGAGGGCCTGGCCTTTCCGCAGACCCCTCCCTGCGGGCAGCCTTAGGGGCTGGGGGAAGCGTGGGGCGGTGCCGTGGACCCTCTCTGGGCCTTTTCCCCAGTGCCCGACCTGGTCCTCTCCCTCCCTCCTCTTCCTGCCTGTGCTGGGCTGAATGGGGAAGTTTCCAGTGAACAGCAGACGTGATCATCTAGGTGAACCACAGAGCAACCACTTCTGGAGGTTCTGCTGCAGATTGAGTTCTCGGTTGGCTTTTGTGTATTTGTGTCCAGGGTTCTAGAAGCCACCACTGGGACAATGAGGAAGTGGCTCGTTTGCAGTTACCCCCCTTCCCTCAGCGGGCGGGGAGGAAACGAGGCCCCTCCGGCCCACAGAGCAGGTTGGAGAGGGGCTGGTCACCTTCAGGCACACGAGTGCCGTGGGGCCCGGGGACCTTCTGCCGCGGTGGAAGGATGTGGCGGCCGGGAGCGGGGCTGCCACGCGTGGGGAAGGGCTCTTCCGGGGCCAGGGGTCCGGGTCACCAGGAGGGCCGTGGGACATCCCTTTTCTTCTCCCTGGCTGCAAGGCGAGGGAGGTTGTTGGGACAGAGGCCCACCCCGACGCTCTGGAGCGGCCCCCGGCACACCGGCCCCTGCGGGCCGTCTTGCTGCACCCTGTGTGCACACACCTCTTAGGCAGGTCGGGCGGCGGTGGACGAGGACACTGGGACTCGGAGGCTTTTTGCACTGGGGGGTGGGTTTCACTTCTGGGGCTTGTGTGACGGGGTGGCTCCCCCTCTTTATTCCACCCTCCCTTGGGCTGCTTTTTTTAAAACCTCTTTATTGAGATATTTCACATACCATAAAATCTGCCCATTTAAAGTGGTTTCCAGTTTACTCTCAGAGTTGTGCAGCCATCACCACAATCTAATTTTAGAGCATCTCAACAGCCCCCAGAGAAACCACACACATTATCAATCACCCCCCAGTCCCCTTATCCCCACAGCCCCAGGTGACCCTTATCTACTTTTTTCTCTATGGAGTGGCCTATTCTGGGAAGTTCATATAAATGGAGTCATACAATCTGTGGTTTTCTTTGACTAGATTGTTTTCATTCAGCATAATGTTTGAGTTTATCCAGTGTTTCAAATTTCATTCCCTTTTATGGCCAAATAAATATTCCATTTTATGAATATACTACATTTTCCTTATCCATTCACCAGTTGATAGACATTCGGCTTTTTGCTACCTCAAATAATGTCATGATGAACATTCGTGTACAAGTTTCTGTGTGGACGTGTGTTTCCATTTCTCTTGTATATATGCGTGCCGAGGAGTGGAATTGCTGGGTCTTGTGATACCTCTGTTTAGCATTCTGAGGAGCTGCAGCCTGTTTTCCAAAGTGGCTGCGCTATCTTACATTCCCACCTGCATGGTATGAGGCTTCCGGCTTCTCCACATCCTCGCTACCACTTGCTATTATCCTTTTGGTTCTAGCCGTCCTCGTGGGTGTGAAGGGGTATCTCACTGTGGGTTTTTTTCCTTTCTTTCTTTCTTTTTTTTGGGGCTGTGCCGCACACGTGGCTTGTGGGGAGCTTAGTTCCCCAACCAGGGATTGAACCTGAGCCCTCAGCAGTGAGAGTGCAGAGTCCTAACCACTGGACCGCCAGGGAATTCCCCTCTCATTTTGGTTTTTTTTTTTTTTTTTTTGCGGTACGCGGGCCTCTCACTGTTGTGGCCTCTCCCATTGCGGAGCACATGCTCCAGATGCGCAGGCTCAGCGGCCATGGCTCACGGGCCCAGCCGCTCTGCGGCATGTGGGATCTTCCCAGACCGGGGCATGAACCCGTGTCCCCTGCATCGACAGGCAGACTCCCAACCACTGTGCCATCAGGGAAGCCCTCATTTTGGTTTTGATTTGCATTTCCGTAGTGGTTAATGATGTTGAGCGTCTTTTCATATGCCTGTTGACCATTTGTATATCTTTGGATCCTATTAAAATCTTTTGCCCAATTTTTAACTGGGTTGTCTTTTTATTGTTGTTAACAAGAATTCTTTGTATATTCTGGGTACAAGTCCCTTGTCTGGTAAATGATTCGCAGCATTTTTTCCCGTTCTGTGCGTTGTGTTTTCACTGATCCATTTCCTTTGAAGCACAAAGGTTTTTAATTTTCAAGAAGTCCATTTTATCTATTTTTTTCTTGTATAACTTGTTCTTTCGGTGTCATATCTAAGAAATCACTGCCTCTCCCAGGGTCATAAAGTTTTATTCCTTTGTTCTCTCCTGAGAGGTTTTTTTTTTTTTTTTTTTTTTTTTAATGGTTTTAGCTCTTATATTTAGGCCTATGACATGTTTTGAGTTGGTTTTTGTATATGATATGAGGTAGGGGCCCCGATTCATGCTGTCACCCGGCGATACCCGGCTGTCCCGGCACCATTTGCTGAAAAGCCTGTTCTGTACCCTGGTCTTGGCCCCTTTGTCAGAGGTTGATGAACCATAAATATTAGGGTTTATTTACGGACTGTCATTTCTGGTCCATTGATCTGTGAGGTTATCCTTTGCCAGTACCACATTGTCTCAATTACTGTAGCTCAGTCATAAGTTTTGAAGTTGGGGAGTGTGAGTCCGCCAGTTTTGTTCTTTTTTACTTTGGCTATTCTGTGCCCCTTGCATTTCCTCATGAAACAGGAGCCATTTGTCACTTTCTGCGAAAAAGCCAGCTGGGAGCCTGAGGGTAATTGTGTTGAGTCTGTGGGTGTCTGGTGGGGGCTCCCACTGGTGGGATGGAATAAATCTTCCAGTCCATGGACAGGAACGATTTCATTTATTTAGATCTTTACTCTCCTTCGACGACGTTCGTAGTTTTCGCTGTGCAAGTCTTAAACATCTTCTGTTCAGTGTGTTCCGAGGTATCTCATTTCTCTTGATGCTGCTCTGTTTCTCAGTTTCGTGTTTGGGTTGTTTATTGCGGGCACGTGGAAGTACAGCAGATCTTGCAGGGATTGTGTCCTGCAGCTGGTGAACTCATTTATTACTGCCAGGGGTGCTTTAGTGGGTTCCTGGGGCTTTCCCATGTGTAAGATCCTGTCATATCCGTATCTTAAAGTCTCTCAGTTGCTCCCAGTATGTGCAGCCAGGATTGAAAGCCAGTGGTTCCCAGGCCTGTGGGATGGAGGGGAGGGCCGAGGAGCAGAGCAGGCACTGGGGTTTCTGAGGATGTGCCCAGCGTCTGGGGAGGCCTGAGGGACGGAGAGCTCGGCGCAGAGGAGCCAGAGAGACAGACCAGCGTCCACACTCCAGCTTTTGTCCTGGCGAATCCAGGTGGCGAGGGGCTGGAAGTGAGGCCACACTGCGTTCTGGGTGAGTGGCAGCTCCCACCCCACCACGAATCGTCAGAAGGGGCCCACGTGGACACTGGCCTGGGCCTCCTGTGGCTCTGCGCTGACCCTGTTCACCCACTTCGGGGGAAGGACTGTCTACGTGATCTCAGCAGACCTGGCGGGCGCCTTAGAAATCCACGTTATCTAGAAACTGGTTGTATCATCTATCTTACTGGTTCCCTTATTAATTAATGAGCTAATAATTAAAATCTTGGACATGTGTTCATTTTATTGTTTTGTATTTGTATGAAAGTCATGGTTTCTCCATTTTCTTTGGCTGGCAGTTTTGGGGCCATCCCTGGAAGTGTGCCGGTGGGTCTCAGCCCCCAGAGGCCACGTCTCAGGGCCAGTGGAATGGCTCCCTCTGTCCTGTGTTTGGCTGGGTTTTGCGTTCGCACACGTGCACCAGTTACTCCTTTGGTGCCTTTGCTGACTGTGGTCCTTGTGGGCAGGTGTCAGAGGTCTACTCTGTGTTGAGTGGGAGAGGACAGAGAATCTGGGTGGTCAGACGGTGGTTTGCGTCCTTGGTCTCTTTTGAGCTCAGTTCAGAATTTTTATTTTATTTTATTTATTTATTTATTTACATCTTTATTGGAGTATAATTGCTTTACAATGGTGTGTTAGTTTCTGCTTCATAACAAAGTGAATCAGTTATACATATACGTATGTTCCCATATCTCTTCCCTCTTGCGTCTCCCTGCCTCCCACGCTCCCTATTTTGTGCCACCACGGAGAACCACTCCTTGACATCCGGACCCGTGAGCCTTGGTGTTTCTGTGTTTACTCTTGACCTGGCCCTGAAGTTGTGGGACCGACTCCGTGTGCCCTGTGGGTCTGTAATTCAGTGAGGCCTTGGCCTCTTGGTGTGTAAATGTGCAAAACGTTTTCTCATCATTAGGTAGTTAGGTTGTGAAGTGTCTCTGATTGGAGGAACTCTGTTCTCATTGGCTTGTGGACCTACATAAATGCTTATATAAATATTTCTAAAATTTCCATAAAATCTGGAAATCTCATTTCTAATAATTTAAACGCATTAGACTTTTAAAAAATTTAAAATGCACAGAAAGAAACTCAAGTTTTATTTATTTATTTATTTTTGGCTGCATTGGGTCTTCGTTGCTGTGCGCGGACTTTCTCTAGTTGCGGCGAGCGGGGGGCTACTCTTCGTTATACTGCACGGGCTTCTCGTTGCGGTGGCTTCTCTTGTTGCGGAGCGTGAGCTTCAGTAGTTGTGGCACGTGGGCTCAGTAGTTGTGGCACGTGGGCTCAGTAGTCGTGGTTCGCGGGCTCTAGAGCGCAGGCTCAGTAGTTGTGGAGCACGGGCTTAGTTGGTCCGCGGCATGTGGGATCTTCCCAGACCAGGGCTTGAACCCGTGTCCCCTGCATCGGCAGGCGGATTCTTAACCACTGCGCCACCAAGGAAGTCCAAACTCGGAAACGTTTTAAGAATACAGGTGTACAAACAGACTCGCAGGTACAGAGAACAAACCAGTAGCCACCAGTGGGAGAGGGATGTGGGAGGGGCAAGACGGGGAGGGGAGTAAGAGGTACCAACTACTATGTATAAAATAAATAAGCTACAAGGATAATATTGTACACCACAGGGAATACAGCCAATATTTTATAATAACTATAAATGGAGTATAACCTTTAAAAATTGTGAATCACTATGTTGTACACCTTAACCTATACATCAACTGTGTCACAAAAAAGAATGCAGGCTCACATAATTAAGATAAATCTTTGGCAAATGAGGATAAATGAATAATTTGGGGTTTTAAAAAGCTGTGTCTTTTCTCTGGTTTATCAGCATTTCTACTTAACATTGATTACATGTAATAGTCAAGATCTCAATATAACGTTGATCCATTTTATTGTAATTGGTTTCTCCCTGAACTTCTACAGGCTTACTTATCAAATCAGCGAATATTTACTCTCACATGATGTTTAAAGTTAAGAGAAATGTAAATTTGTTTTCAACTGAGTTGAATAGAATTCTGACATTGCTTTTACTTTAACAGTATTCCAGGGTACAGCTTGGACGCACATTAAATTGAGTTGATGATGGCAATCACTGTCTACCTAGGTAATTTCTAAGTACGACAGGATATAGCGACGCAGTGGGACCAGGTGTGAGTTCAAGTGTTTTCAGTGTCCTCAGCAGAGGCTTCGTCTCTGGCTGGTGTCGCTCAGCGTGTCTGCACCGTGGGGACGTCCAGGGCACGTGTGCTGCTGGAGATAGCGTCTGAGCTGTGTGACACCCGGACACCTGGTTTTCTGTGAAGGAAGGTCAGTCACTTGGGTTGAGTCTTAATTAAAATGGATGACAGAGAAAAACTGTTGTATATGTGCTTTTATTTTCAAGGAAAGGGGGTCTTCACCCCGCCCTCAAACTTTTTGGTCTCTCTTTTACACATAAAAATTACTGAGGACCCTGAAAAGCTTTTTTTTGCAGTACGCGGGCCTCTCAACGCTGCGGCCTCTCCCGTTGCGGAGCACAGGCTCCGGACTCGAAGGCTCAGCGGCCATGGCTCACGGGCCCAGCTGCCCCGCGGCATGTGGGATCTTCCCGGACCGGGGCACGAACCCGCGTCCCCTGCATCGGCAGGCGGACTCTCAACCACTGCGCCACCAGGGAAGCCCCCCTGAAAAGCTTTCGATTAAGTGGTTTTTATCTATTTTCTGTGTGAGAAAGTAAGACTGGAGAAAATTTTCAAATATTGTTGATTTGTTTGAAAATATCAATGCCTGTTGCTTAACGAATATTTTTTAAGAGTACTGTATTTTACAAAACAAGGTTTTTAGTGAGAACATTGTTTCATGTTTTTGTAAATCTCTTAAATGTCTGAGTCTGAGAAGCAGCTATGAAATCTCACAATTTTAGCAAAAGTTTGCTTGTTTGGATGGTCTTGCCTCCTTTACTGTCAAAACGAGTTTTTTTGGTTTTGTTTTTTGTTTTTTGTTTTTTTTTTTTTGCGGTACGCGGGCCTCTCACTGCTGTGGCCTCTCCCGTTGCGGAGCGCAGGCTCCGGACGCGCAGGGTCGGCGGCCATGGCTCACGGGCCCAGCCGCTCCGCGGCACGTGGGATCTTCCCGGACCGGGGCGCGAACCCGTGTCCCCTGCATCGGCAGGCGGACTCTCAACCACTGCGCCACCAGGGAAGCCCTGTTTTTTGTTTTTAATTGTTTATTTTTGGCCGCACCGCGGAGCTTGTGGAACCTTAGTTCCCTGACCAGGCATCGAACCTACACCCCCTGCAGTGGAAGCACGGCATCCTAACCACTGGAGCGCCAGGGAAGTCCCCAAAACAATAATTTTTGATGCTTTATGTTTTAAGGGGGAAAACAGCCCCACAAAGAACAAAGGTTGATCACTTACGAGGAGCTTAAGGTTTTCTTAGTTTCGTTCATTGATAACCATGTCCTGTTGCTCAGGCATCCGTGACCCCATCTTAAGTGCCCAAGTGGACTCTGACAGAGCTTCCAAAGGTTGGACCCTGAATTTAGAAAACAAAAATGTTTTCAGGATATCTTTTACACCTAAAACTATTATTGAGACTTCCCAGAGTGCCCCTGGAGAATCCCAAAGGCCGTTTACCTTATACTTATAAAGAGAGCGATTATACAATTAATCAGATTTGTCTGAAGTGCTACTGTTATGAGGCTGCTTTGGTTATGTTTACAGGAAACCGTTACTCATTTAAATGTTTCAGAAGCTGTGTGCTATATGGGGACGCCTTTATTCTCAGGGGAAACACTGATCACGGTTTTTTTGTTTTTTTTTTGTGGTACGCGGCCTCTCACTGTTGTGGCCTCTCCCGTTGCGGAGCACAGGCTCCGGACGCACAGGCTCAGCGGCCATGGCTCACAGGCCCAGCCGCTCCGCGGCACGTGGGATCCTCCCGGACTGGGGCACGAACCCGTGTCCCCTGCATCGGCAGGCGGACTCTCAACCACTGCGCCACCAGGGAAGCCCTGATCACGTTTTTTAACGTTCTGAGCCCCAAAAGAGAATCTGACCCCTTCCGTTCTGATGTTTTCAGTTAGAGAAACACGTGAATCACCCCCGGCAGCCTGTGCCCTCTGGGGGTGAGTTGGGGCTTTTCGTGTGTGTCCTCAGCAAAGAAGGACGGAATCAGAGACTTGTGGAAAGGACTGGTACTAGGTGCTTGGAACCAGTGAAACTTCACAAACAGGCTTTTGTGTTCTCCTGGCTTCAACAACTCAGAGCTTCACCCAGGGTGCAGGTCAGGGTTTCCAGGCTCTTCTGGATGCAGACGGCATGGGCGCAGCTGCTGGGACCCACAGACCAAGGTGGGAAACTGGTGGTTTGCTCGGAACATTGCTGACGTTTCCATCTCTGTTCTCTAGACACACGAAACTTTCTCTTTCTTCAACTGTCTGTAACCCATAAAAACCTGGTAGACGGAAATGACATCTAGTTCTTCCTGACAGAGTTCTTTCCAAGTTTCCTCATTTTGTGTGATGGTACTGCTATTTGCATAGGTTCAAGAAGACGACTCTGTGGGGGGTGTTTTCTTTCAAACTTTATTGTGGTAAAATAGATTAAAATTTTACCGTTTTAATCAGTTTAAGTGTACAGCTCAGTGGCATTAATAGGAATTAATAATTCTCTAGAAAACAGGCACAATTTCTCATGTAAGTGGGGCAAGGCGGTGTGTGTCCTTCTGCGTCTGGCTTGTTTTGTTCGGTGTAACATCCTCAGGGTTCCTCCACATTGTCGCAGGTGCCAGAATCTCCTTCTTTGTTGTGTGTGTGGTAAAATATACATAAAATTTTCCACTGTAACCACTTCCGAATGTCCCCCGCACTGAGATGCCACCACCCCCGTCCTCTCCAGGACCCTCGCATCTTCCCGCCCCGGGCCAACAGTCCACTTTCCAGCAGAGGAGCAGCTGCCCTTGTGCGTCTGGCTCATGTCACTCAGCTCAGTGCCCTCAAGCTCCTCCCTGTGCAGCAGGTGCCAGAACCTCCTCCTCTCTGGGGTTGAACGAGACTCACCGCGTGATGGACACACTGTGTGTCCACCCACTCACCCATCAGTGGATGTTGCGTTGTCACCACCTGTGCTGTGGTGAGTGACGCAGCCAGGAGGGTAGGTGTGCACGTACCCGGAAGCAGAGTTACTAGAACAAACGGTAATTCTGTGTATAAGTTGGTGAGAAACTGCCTACTGTCCTTCGTTCTTTTTACCAGGATGTAATATAATTGGACAACTTGAGAGCCTTCCTCAGAATGTCCTATTTCTGAGTGATGCTTGTGTGATTGACTGTGACAGGCCACTTGTCACAGAACTGAGCTGCCTGTAGGGAGTGATGGCTACAGAGCCCCCCAGGAAAGCCAGTCTGGCCCTGGGGTCCCCGCCCTCCGTGGTGGGAAGGTCGCTTCCTGCGGGCCAGGGAATCTGAGATAAGTAGGGACCCGAGTAAGAGAGGCCGGGACTGAATATACGAGTGGACGGTGGCAGAGCAGCCTGCCCGGCCCCTTCCCCCAGCCCTCCACAGTGACCACCAGCCCGGGAGGTCAAGTCAGAGTGCTCTCTGGGACAGTCCAGGGAGCTAAAAATAACTTCAGGACTCGATTGATACCGGACAGCTTCTCTCCTTTCTGTTTGTGCCTCCACCGTGGGGCGACACAGAGGACGCCATCGCACAGGGAGCCACGGCCAGCGGGCCCCCTGCTTCCCCCGCGGCCTCCTCTGCAAAGCTCCCCACCCCCTGCCTGCATTTGAGTCTCTGCCACGTGCAAGTGTCTGGATCCATGGCCCCTGTTCCCCTGGCTGGGCTTCCTTTTCTCCGCACACATTTAGAGGGGCCACAGGTGGAGCCTGTGGACTTGCTTGGCCTGGTGCTCCTGCCCGCCCTCGGGGTAGCAGAGTCCAGGCTGAGCTTCCTGGTGAGAATTTCCAGACAGAAGCTGATCTTGTGGCATTAGTAGTTGTTTAATCTGAATTTGAAAAAGAAACCTAGGAGGCATGGCTGGTTAATTAACATTTTTATGAGACCCGCCCTGTTTGTGTGTGTCAAAGAATAATCTTTGAGATCATTACCAGTCCGGAGACTGTCAGGAAATCTGTGAAAGACTTTGAAATGGGCAAAAAACCTGGATATTCTGGCCAGCTCACCGTTTCTGCTTTTCTTGTCTTTGAGCTATTTTACGCCTCTGTGAGCTGCAGAAAACGGATGCTGATGCAGGTGATTTGTCCACAGAAATACAGGTGCTCTGCCGTGGGTGCTTGTGTGATGAGTGGCTTTAGCATCTTTGTTTCCCCCATTAAATAATCAGTTACATAAAATCTTTAGTAAGTGTTCATTTCAGAAGGAAAAAAAGGAAATCCACCTTCTCCAAACCCACTGTCTTTCTGAGGAAAACACTGGGGCCCAGCCATCCTGCAGAGGCACTTTCTCCTGTGCATCCATCCCGTCTGGGTCGGCATCCGTGTTCTGCTCTCATTCTATATCCTTACATATAGAGGGGCAGCTATAAAGACATATATGCACAGGTGACCTTCGAACAACAAGGGTTTGAACTGCATGGGCCCCCCTTCTGTGGGGATGTTTTTCACTCGTAAATGCCCCACGGGCTGTTGTTGGTTGAATTGGAGAATGCAGATCGCGGATACAGCCATATTCTACGCCCACTGACCCCCGCGTTGTTCAAGGGTCACTATGTAAAGGCATTAAAGCATGTTGTGGAAGTGTCTGTTGAGGCGGGAAATGGGCCCAGTGGATCAGGGCTGCGGGGACAGTGGGAAGGGTCCAGGCGGAAGGCAGATTTTATGTGAGTCACCCCTTGAAGGCGGCCTCCCCGGTTTTCGGAAGATCGTTCCTGAGAGGGCGTGGTGGAGGCCGAGGCTGTGACTGTGGACGTGGGTTGGCTTCTGCGGCCTCTCCCCCAGGGGAGGCACACTGTCCTGCAAGCTCTGCCTCCTGCCCTGGAGGCCCTCGGGCCAGCGTCCTGCTGCTTCCTGTCTGTCCCTCCACGTTCATCTGCGTCCTTTGCAGCCTGCCCGGCCCCAGGGTGGGCTCATCCGACTCCCGGTGGGTGGCCTGGGTCCTGGGGATGCAGGCCCCCAAGGCCCCCGCCTGCGCTCCCGGCGGGGGCTGGGGGGGGGGGCCTTGCCCTTTCTCCCTGGAGAGGAGCTGGTTGTTCTCTTCTTAACCCCTGTGTATTTAGGAACCGTATGGAAGTTCCAAATTTGACTGTTACTGCCCTACAAGGGGACCGATTCATTGGGTTTAGCCTAATACTGTGTGTAAACACACATTCACTGGTGCAGACATTTTAACGTGGGATTATTCTGTTGAGACTGCTCTGCAGAAATATTTCCGGTCTGTTTGGATGTCTCTATGATGCACACAGCTCTCATTCTTTTATATTTTCCATGTTGGGGGCATAATCTTTTTAAACTCAGCCTCCCATGGGCTTTTTGTCTGCTCAGTTGTTTATGCCTGCCGGGTTATTTAGTGTGGATTTATATGCCATCTGGAAGCCTGAATCTTTTGTGTGACTGTCAAATACACATTCTTTCTCTTTCTTTACACACATTTTTCTGTGCAAGACTGATCCTACCAGCCCTTGCAGCCACGTGGCCCTGGGCCCAGGCGTGCCTGCTTTCTCACCCCCTCGGTGCTCTGGGGCTGCAGCTGGGAAGGGTCGGTGGGGAGAGCGGTGATGGGGCCGTGGTAATGACACAGTGGGTCCCTGGAAACGTGCAGCTGTTTTTCGTGGAGGGAGCCCGTTGCTCCAAGTACTGTATTGACTTGGAGAGGGTTCGGGAGCAGACGGCCCCGTCTGCCTGACCAGTGAGCTCGGGCTGTGGGCTGGGCTGAGGTGGGCGGGCGAGGGCAGCAGGGCTCCCTGTTCTTCCCAGGGGGTCCTGGAGGGGTGTCCCGGTGGGGCCCTGCACCCACCCTGTGTGTGTCCTCTTCCAGGCTGCCGACCCGCATCCCTGTGAGCTGGAGCCCACGACGCTGCCTGGGCCATGGACTCGAAGGTCAGATGGGCGGTGGTCCTGGGGATGTGGGCGGCGGAGCCCCGGATCCCAGCTCTCAGGAGCACAGGGCGGAAAACCCCCTTGTCCCCGCACCGCTTCCGCCCACTCCTGTGCAGGACAGGCTCAGGGCTATAGCGTCGCCGAGGTCGCATGGGCCAGTCCCCTGCCTCAGCAGGATGGGGCCTAGATGGCGCCTTGTGCTTTGAGCGAGTTTAAAAGAGAAAGTGGCGCCTTGTGCTTTGAGCGAGTTTAAAAGAGAAAGTGGCGCCTGGCCCAGCAGAAGCTCCTCTTCCCCTCTTCCTGTCTTTGCCAGGCAGTGTGGCACCTCCAGGCGCCCAGCCCGGGGCCCTCCGTGTCCCCACCAGCCCCGTGGGGGCAGCCGCAGGCCTGAGGACTTACTAGGTGGTTCACGAGCCTGGCCCGGTTTCTGCATCTCTGAGCAGACAGCGCCTGGGGGCTGGGTGTGCGCTTCTCAAACAACCCTCTGCGGGCCTGGGAGCCGTGTGGTTCCCAGCTTAGCAGCTCAGGAGAAATGTCAGCTACTTGAGCAGAAGAGGTTTCGGGTGCTGCCCAGGTGCCGCTTCTCCTGACTTCAGTGGGAAAAAGGGCAGACACACTCCCAGGGCTTTGCTTTCCCCTGTCTTTCCTTCAAGCTGAGAAAACCGAGACACAGGCGTGCCCCGCAGTCAGGTTCACGGTGAGACATCCAGCAGCTTCCTCTTCCCCGGTCAGAAATTTCACCCTGCTATAGATTTTCTTTTTTCCCTTTGATTTTGTTTCCAGGTTTTTTTTTTTAATTAGAGTAAAATTTACCATTTTAACCTTTTATTTGATTGATTGATTGGCTGTGCTGGGTCTTTGTGGTGGTGCATGGGCTTCTCATTGCAGTGCGTGGGCTTCTCTTGTGGCGCATGGGCTCTAGGCGTGTGGGCTTCAGTAGTTGGAGCACGCGGGCTCGGTAGTTGTGGCTCGTGGGCTCTAGAGCGCAGGCTCAGTAGTTGTGGTGCATGGGCTTAAGCTGCTCCACGGCATTTGGGATATTCCCAGACCAGGGCTCGAACCCGTGTCCCCTGCATTGGCAGGCGGATTCTTAACCACCGCGCCACCAGGGAAGTCCCCATTTTAACCTTTTTTAAGTGTCCGGCACAGTGGCATTAAGAGCACTCGCGTCGCTCTGCCACCACCGCCCCCTTTTCTCTGTGCATTTGATGCTACAGGGGCCACACAGATGAGAGGATGGAGCAGTGCGAGTCCTCTTGTGTCTGCTGATACCACTGAGCATGACGGCTTGGTTTTTTTGTTTTTGTTTTTTTTTTTACTGTTTGTATGGCGCTGTTCATCTATACTGTAGCATTCTTTGATTTTTTTTGATATGTAGAAAATGAGATTGATTTGTTTGTTTTGTTTTTACTGTTAGTTTGGTGCTGTTTTCTCCAGGTTTGGACACCAGGATTAGTCTAGTTTATCACACACATTGGACAGCTTTCCATCGTTTTCTCTGCACGGGAACTGATTTTATAGCACGAGTTAGTTTTGCCTCCTATCCTACAGATGAAATCTGTATTATGTCCGGCAAGATTTCCTAAGTCTTGATCATTTCTCTTAACATACTTTTTCCTGTGACCTAAAAGGATAAACAACTATCAAATCTTCCACCTTCTGAGACATCCATTCAGCTTGTGTCACTCGTCCATCCTTGGCTTGTCACCAGCCTTGCTTGTTCTTGGTGTTAAATGCTGTTGGTCTTCTGGACCGGCTGCCTGTTAGGGAGTCCAGGTCCGCCTGTTCTTGACGTGCTCAGAACGGAGTCTGTCCACACGCTTCCCAGCCGGATGGCACTAAACACTTGGCTCCAGGGCCTGAGCCCTCTAACACCGGACGCTCTCCTTCTCGCCTGTGGCCGCTTCTGTTCTTTGTGTTTCGGGGGAGAGGCAGAGGTCACTGCATCTGGGTTTGATACCTGACCTGGTGTAGCTGGTGTCAACCGCTGCTGCACACCCAGACTTTGGACCCTGTTCACTAACCTCGTGAGAAAGACGAGGTTTGGTTCCCTGCGGCTGCAGCAGGGAAGCCCCACCGGCTGGGTATCTTCCTGAAGTGTCTGGAGGCCACAAGCTTGATGTCAGGGTGTTGCAGGGTCGGTTCCCCTGGAGGCTCTGAGGAGTCTGCTCTGGCCTCTCCAGCTCCAGCCTCCGTCTGCACCGGCATCCCTGTGTGTGTCTGTAAGCCTGCCCCTTTCTCTTGTAAAGACATGGGTCGTGGGATTAGGGCCCAGATCCAGGATGACCTGGCCTTAACGTGACATCTGCAAAGACCCCATTTCCAAATAAGGTCCTGCTCTCAGGTCCTGGCGGCCAGCACCTGGGCCTGTCTCGGGGGAACACGGTCCAACCGCGGCCCTGCCTCAGCCCCTCTTCTCTCCTGACAGGACGTCTCCTGAGGTAAAGCACATTCTTGAGTTTCTCAGCTGCCTTGTGCCACTGGCCTCGCTGTAAAGATTTAGTAGAGTGGAGCTTTTACATACATCTTCCCCCTTTTAGGAGTAATTCTGGAGAAGTCAAGTCTGAATAGCAATACATAAGCACCTTATTTTATGCGTTTCGTTGAAAACAATTTGTCCTCTAAAAACTGTCCTCTCAATGTTTTCTGATTTTCCTAATCAATATTTTTCTAGTATTTTCTAATGAAAAACATTATGGACTTAGAAGTAAGTTTTACCTGCACCTTCATTTTCTTCCCATGACTTCTCCCAGCTCAGGCCGTGTGTTTTGTGTGTGTTGATCTGGGCGGTCTCGGCATCCTAGCCTCTCACGACGCCCTCTCGTCCCAGGTCTGGGGGGGTCCTGCTCTGCACTTGCCTTCTTGTTGCCACGTGCAGTGGCCCTCCTGGCTCCCTGGTGCTGCGCTTGGGCTTGGCCGGGGGTTTATCTACCTGAGGTCACCCAGGCCTGTCCAGAGGCAGGTGTTGCCTGTGGGCACTACTGCCCAGGCTGTATTGAAAATCTGCTTCTGCACAACACCCTCCTGGGCCCACAGAGGACGTGGTGGAAGAGGATGAGCTTCTAACTGCTGGATGCACTCCCAGTGAGCGTGGGCTCTGGCTGGTAAAAGATACGCAGGGCCCGGCGCAGGCGTGCAGAGCCAGGATGGCACCTAGACACATACGTGCCTGACCCCCCTCCCCGGGGCGCACCAGCTGGCTGCCGGCAGATGGGTCACCTTCTGCAGGATTGGAGCTTTTCAGCATCTGTACGTGGCCCTGCGGACTGGCCCCTGCCCACTGGCAGGGTGTCCAGGCCCCGGGCCAGGGAGGCCTTCCCGGGCCCGGCTGCCCGGCCTGGGGCCATGTTCCCACAGGACTCTCCTCTCAGGTCAGCAAGGGCGCCAGCCCCCAGGATGAGCGCACCACAAGCCTGCTGGTGTTCAGCTTCCTCCAGAGCTGCCCACACTCCCGTTGCCACCAAGAGCTGGAGATGCTGGGCCACAAGCTGCCCATGCGTGCGGCCCACGACGATGAGCTGCAGACGGATGGCAACTGGTGCAGCCACTTCCGTGATGAGGGGGCGGCAGAGACAGGTAGGCGCTGGGCCAGCCTCCGCGGCCCAGATGTGTGCTGAGGGGCCTTCGGGCTCAGGCCCACCCCGTGTCCAGCAGAGCAGGCCTCGCCGAGTCCAGTCAGTTGAAACCCACTTGGGCTCGTGAGGATTCTTTGCATCTGTGCAGCGCCCATGCTTTACTCCTGTGTATGTTATGGCCATGACGATCTGCACGGTCACCACCAGGGCAGCGGGGACCAGGGGCTCTTTTCTTGGGCCAGGCCATCCTCCGTGTGTGGTAGATTCCAGGTGTGCGTCCTGTCCTCCCGGCCTCAGCTTTGGCCACCAGTGCTGCCTCCACGGAGGCCGCTGGGAGCTGACGGCTGGGAGCCCCTCTGGAGGTGGGTCAGGCACAGCACATCGTGGAGCTCCATGAGGAATTCTGTCGGGTTCCTGAACCAGCCTGTGCTTTGGGGGCAGGCTCCCATGTGTTCCTGACGCTCCTGGGAGGCCTGGGCTGGAGTCTGCTGCCTGGTGGTGGTGGTGGTGGTGGTGGTGGTGGGGTCACTGACCTATCGAGGCTGATCTGGCCTCTGGGCCACCAGCTGTCTTAATTCAGGTAGCCAGCAGTGCGGCAGGGGGTCCCCACCAGCCAGGGTTGCCTTAGGCCCCCTTTGGGAAGGGGCAGGAGTAGCTCTGCTCTCAGGTCTGCTGCCCCGTTGGCCCCCGTCTGCACCAAGCCCCCCTCAGACTGTACGCACAAGGTGGGCAAGGTGGGCGCTTGGGTAGGAAGTGGTGTGTGGTCAGGAGCCTGAGGAGGTGTGGAAGCAACGGGCAGAACGGAGGCCTGGCCGCCACTTGTCAGTGGATTTGTTCGCTCGGCTGGACGGGAGGAGGTGGGAGAGCGGGGCCGTCGGGGGCTGTGTGGGAGGCGGGTCAGGACAAGCGCACGGGCTGGGCCATGAAGGGGACCACGGGGTCGAGCGTGGCCGGGCTGTCGACCTAGGTCGAGGAGGTCTCAGCAGGTGAGTGGTGACCTGTCCCCGAGCAGAGGTGGGCGGGTAGTAGGAGGTTTTGGGGTGAGGAGGGCTCGTGTTGGGGTCACACAGACACGTCTCAGTGAGGTCAGGGCTGCAGCCGGGCCCGCGGAACTCCACGGGCGCAGGGCTGTGCAGGCACTGCCGGCAGATTCCACCAACCACAGGTTGGAAATACTTGGGGAAAAAAGTTCCAGAAAGTTCCCCACAGCAAAACTTGAATTTGCTGTGCGATGGCGTTGTATGAGGTGGAGGTGATCACGTGAGGGACGCCGGCCCCTGGAGTTTGGTGCCCGCAGAGGTCCTGGGCCGGCACCCACCCAGACCCCGAGGGACGCTGGGCGAGGTTGTTGGTCGGGGTCCAGACCACAAGGCGCGGCACTTGGACCCTCTGGTTTCCCAGCACGTGTAGACGTTACGTGTACACTACACGGAGGTGTGTTCAGTGTGCAATGGCGCTGTCTTTAACAGCGTTCGTGCCTTAATGAAAAGGACTTCTGCATTGCTGCACGCTAACCATCCTCTGAGCCTGCAGCGTGTTGGAGCAGTGCCGTCACTGGTCACCATACAAATACATACATAACAATGAAAACGTCTGAAATATTGCGAGAATTACCAAAATGTGACACAGAGACACAAGTGAGCAAATGCTGTTGGAAAAACAATGCCAGCAACTCTCTCAATGCAGGGCTGGCTGCCACACGCCTTCCACCTGTGTGACGGGCAGAGAGGGGCTGGAGGTGGGGCGCGTACACTTTCTGTGCCGTGGGGAGCAGCAGCAAGGGGGCTGGTCACTCCGTGCCCTGGGCCCCCAGCTGCGTACCCGGGAGTCAGCCCACAGCTGGGAAGCCCAGAGCCCCTGGAAGCTTCTGTCCCGGGGAGGGGCTCAGATGGTGTCCAGGGAGGAAGAGCGTGGCATCTGGGGAGGGGTTGGAGGGGGGCAGGAGGCAGAGTCCAGGATGAGAGGCTGCGGAGCCTCTGTCCTGACCGCTTCCCCTGCCGACAGCCGTTGGACGCTGGGCTTCGAGCCCAGGTTGTGGCTACCCCGGCATCACAGGTCCTTCTCCCACCCAGCCCCTGCACCTGTTCCCGTGTTCACACGGTCCTCACTGGGCTGTGGATGCAGGACCCACCTGTTTCCTGGAGCGGGGTGAGCGGGAGCGGGGTGAGAGGGGCGTCATCTGACCCCCCCCCCCCCCCCACCGTCTGCACCTTAGACTCTGAGACTCAGGAGGAAGTGGTCCGGGACATCGCCAGGCAGCTCGCCCAGATTGGGGACGGGATGGAGTGCAGCATCTGCCCGGGGCTGGTGGCTGGCCTGGCCGCGCAGTTCAGTAACACGAGCCTGTCGGAGGAGGTGAGTGAGAAAACCCATGGGGCTTGTCCTCTGCCTCCTGGCAGACAGACCAGCGTCCAGGGAGGTGGCTCAGCTCGTGACTGCTGGAGAGAGAGTCAGCCGGGCGAACTGTCTCTTGGAAAAAAGTCACTTGACAGCTGAAAACCTGAACCTGCAGTGAGACTCAAGTCTGGGGACACAGCCCCCAAAGGTTAACGAGACGGATGCGACTTGTCCTGAAACAGCATGTCCACTCCGCTGACCACTGAGGTGGCGGGGCCCCCGTGACCTAGAAACGCCCTCGGGCTGGGCCCGACGGGTCGAGCCTCCTGCCTTCGGGAAGGCCCGTCTGTCAGGGAGCCTCCCTGTGAACTTTGCTGGCCAGCGTGGATCAGACACAGGCTGATCGTGCCGTTCTTGCTGCCACGTGTTGGCGCATGGAAGGTCCGTTCCAGTCTGGCGGTGCATGAGGCCTCTCCTGACAAGAGGTCGCCATCCCCCTCCCTGCTCCCATGTACCGGGCTGGACCCCTTGGGTGGTGACTGACCTTGATCTCAGGTGCCTCCAAGCAGGAGACGAGGACCCGCCGCGGGGGGGCGGAGGGGGTGTGCCTCGCCTGCCCCCGGCTTTGCCTCCTCAGCTGTTTACAGCACTTCCCTCCTCCCCGTGGGAGGCCTGGTAACTGCGCCTCTGCTTCCACCCATGCAGGACAGGAGGCGGTGCCTGGCGGCCGCGCTGGAACAACTCACGCAGCTCTACCCTGCGGACGTGGACCGCGAGAAGACATTGCTCCTGCTGACCATGCTCGTGGCCAAAAAGGTGGCTGACCACTCGCCAGCTGTGCTCCAAGATGTCTTTCACACCACAGTGACCTTCATCAACCAGAACCTTCTCGCCTACGTGAGGAACTTAGCCCAAAACGTAAGAGCCAGTTGTGGCAGCTCCTGGGCTCTTAGCCCCCCTTGGTGTCCGCCTCTCCCCACCCCGGCCCCCCTCTGAGCTCTGGGACCCTCGCTGCAGGGCTGCCTGCTGGGGATAGACCCCAGGGAAGGTGGTCACGGCCCTTCCTGCTCAGGAGGAAAGGCTTGGTTCTGCGTCCGGGAGTCCGGTTGTTTCTGAGAGGAGCTGCTGTCACAGGGCAGCGGAGGCCGACTGTGCACCCTTCACCGGCTTGTAAGAGCTGCTGGGGGGCGAGCAGGAGAGGGGGCTGGAGGGGCCCACGCTGGGCTTCCCCAGTCTACTGTCAGCCTCACCTTGTCACAAAAATGAGTATAATTTAAATTAAAACACATGCTTACCCAAGGAGGGTTAGCGGTCAAAAGCGGGTAAAAACTGCATACATCTGTCCTCTACCCAGGATATTAGAAAGTCCGGTGCTTCCGTTTCATAGACCACCTGGAAGGGAAAGTGGATGTATCCTATCCATAAATTTTGGGGTTTTATGTGTCGGGAGCATTGCTCAGGTGTCTGACCCTCTTAAAATGTAGTTGATGAGCCTTAAAAGCATTCTCTCTGCGTGGCCTTCGGTTATACGGGCTTTTAAAAGTAAAAACCGGAGGGAGAACACAAACCCCAACTCGTTGCGAAACCAAGCTGAGCTGTTGTTGGAAGGAGATAAGCCTCTGTTAACAGCTTCCAGACACTGTGGGACTGAAACAGAACCTTGGTCCAGTCCTCGCACCCACTGAGGTGCCTCTTGGCACCATAAGTGACTTGGTGAAAGCTGTGTTTGTTTGCAGAGCCCCAGCTGCACTTCTGCTGACTGGCCCTAGAGGCTCAGGTCTAGGGTCCTGGCTCAGGAGGGAGGCTGGCTAATCCCGGCTGTTGTCCTTTCTTGCTCCAGGAGATGGACTGAAGGGACGACTCAGCAAAAGTGCGACTGGTTACACCTTGAGATGGTGACAGCAGTGTAGCTGTCTCCACAGAGATGGAGCCTCGGCCACTTCAGCATGCTCAGAGAAGACAGGCACGAGGTGGCAGCTGTGTATCTCTCACCATTTTAAAGCCAGGGACCGTTTAGGGTTTCTTCACGTACGTGTGTGAATGTTTCACATCATCTACATCCATCCACACACTGTGCCTTTACCTAATGTCTGCTGGAAAGGTCCCCGCCTGAAAATCAGATCTAGAAGCAGATCGTGAGTTCCCTGGTGGTCCAGTGGTTAGGACTCCTCTGCACCTCCACTGCAGGGACCAGGTCTGATCCCTGGTCGGCGAACTAAGATCCCACAAGCTGCAGCCAAAAAAGAAAAAAAAAAACAACAAAATAAAAGCAGATTGACAAATAAAAAGGCAGAAGGAAAAGAACACACAATGTTTTTTTGTTTTTTAAAAAAACCCACTTGGGACTTTCCTGGCGGTCCAGTGGTTAAGACTCCGTGCTTCCACTGCAGGGGGTGCAGGTTTGATCCCTGGTCAGAGAACCAAGATCCTACATACCGTGCAGTGCAGCAAAAAAAAAAAAAAAAAAAAAAAAAAAAAAGCGCACCCTCGGTGGTGGTGGTGTTACCACAGGCAGTGCCGAGCGTGAGGGGACCAGGGATTGGAAAGGGAATGCACGGACCTCTTACAAGTGAAAAATTCCCCTCAAAACAGGGACACCTTCAATAGTAAGGACGTGCAGTCTTTTTTTTTTTTTTTTTTTTAGCTTTCATAGAGAGGTTTAATGCCGTGTGTGTTCACATACCAAAGCTGTTTCCACCAACACAGGAAATCTCTCACCGTGTATTTCCTCGAGGTTCACCCCAAGAGCCTGGGCCATTCCAGATGCAGATGGAAGAAGGCAGCACCACCAGATACCGGAGGGGTCCAAGGGGATGGGTTTAATTAATCGTCCTTCCTGGACTTGCCGTTGATGTAGGGCCCCCGGTCCAGAATCAGTCAGTGGCCCATACCAGCCCCACGGCTCCCGTGGCGCCCCGCTGGCCCACTGTGGGTGACCGGTTTCTGGCCAGCTGGTGGCAGCAAGGGCCCATGACCTGCTCAGCATCGTGGCTCCGTCCCGGCTCAGGGTGACCCTGGCCCCGCTGGCTCAGGCGCACTCAGTCTTCCTGTTTAAAAACCAAGCAGCACAAGAGGTTCTGGACTCAAACGTTTAACAGGAAAATCAGACCTCAAAATGTGTTTGTTTTGACTTTTTCACCGTGATTTCCTTCTACTTGAGTCAGGAACCACAGGCATTTAAAAGACGTGGAGGTAATTTCAAGGCCTATGTCAACCAGTTTCCAAAATCATGTAACTAAACGCACCCTTTTCTCTTTCCAAGAAGTCAAGGTTTTGATAAAAACTTTAAGCTACTGGAGAAGCTACTGCATCTGTCCTGTGGGGAATGTCTGTGAAGAATCTTTACACTTTCATCTTCCAGCCATGCCCCCAGCTCATCTGCACCTATGAAGCTGCTTATGGAGAGAACCGGTTTCTAGGCATATAAGATGAAAGAACAGTTAGACAGCATTTGTGGTGGCTCCCTTTTCTAGACACACAGTCAGTATACAGGTAATAACAGGGACTTCCCTGGTGGTCCAGTGGTCAAGAATCCGCCTTCCAGTGCAGGGGATGCAGGTTCGATCCCTGGTCGGGGAACTAAGATCCTGCATGTCGCGGGGCAACTAAGACCCGATGCAGCCAAAAATAAATAAATTTAAACAAAACAAAACACTATATAGTCCAATAAAATTTGAAAAAAAAAAAAGAATACAATAACAAAACGTAATCACTTAGCACCAGAGTAAACCAGAGTACTTACGGTTAGAAGCAACACAGCCCGGTCTGTCCCCAGCGCTGTGTTTCCTGGGATTGGTCTGCGTCCAAGTGCAGTGGTGGGTAGGGCCCAGACCTCACATCACCAGTAACAGAAACGCCCTCGTTACTGTGACCATGATGCTCTGGGGAAGGACAGTTCGAACACGAGTAATTAAGTACTGATAAACACGTTGTTACCAAAACCACTTCCCTGTTCCCTGAGTTTAAACTTACCAGAAAAGAAAAATGACTCCATGGTTCAGCATTGAACACAGCACCCCAGGGCTGGGTCTCAGGCTGACACCTGCAGAATGCTGCAAGTCCTAAAAGCAAGTAGGTGTGGCTGCGCCTCCGGAAACAATCTTCTAGATTTAAAGGGTTCATGTCACCGTGGAAACAGGGTGACTCACACATGCACACAGACACAGGAATCAGTCAGTACAATGTGCCTCAGCAGGGAGATACTTTCTTCCAGGCCCAGGAGCAATTTGAACTCAAGCAGTCAGCTCTAAACTAACGGAAGAGAAAGGAGCTCTAAAGCACCAAATCATCCCAGACTCTCTCTTACAATGCTTCAAATTTTCAGGGACCTCCCTGGCGGTCCAGTGGTTAAGAGTCCGCGCTTCCACTGCAGGGGCCACGGGTTTGACCCCTGGTTGGGGAACTAAGATCCCGCGTGCCATGTGGTGCAGTAAGTACGTAAATAAATACTTTGTCGCGGCATTTTTACCTGCCACTGTTTTGTGTACATTAATACAGTAAGCCGCCGCTTCAATGCAGTTCGTACGTGTTTTGGTGTTGGTCTTCCAGGCCAGGTCAGACCCTCTTCCTCGGTCGTAAAGCAAGACGACCGCT